GCTCGACACCTCCTGTTTTTTTTCTCCAATTCTCCCATTTTTTGTTTAATTAAAAGTCCGCAAGTATCACATATCCGAAGCTCGTGTGAATTTCAATCATTTCATTAGTAATCAGAACAGGATTTGTTCTCAAAGATCTAAAAAATCTGTACTTTTACTTCAATTCGGGGATTTTATGTTGATTCTAGTTTGATGCAGTCTCTAAAGGTTCCTTTTTTTATGTGTTCCTTGTTCGTATCGTCAAAGCTTCCAATTTTTTTTTTTTGACTTAGTAGTAACAAACTGTGACTCTTCCTTTGTATTTTTCAGGTAAAATTCTGAGAATTGGAGCAGCCAAATAACAAACCATGGCAACACTTGAAGATATTGGTGTATCAGCAGGGATAAACATCCTCACTGCATTCATTTTCTTCATAATCTTTGCTTTTCTAAGGCTTCAGCCATTCAACGACAGAGTTTACTTCTCGAAATGGTACCTGAGGGGGTTAAGAAGCAGCCCTGCAAGTGGAGGCGGCACGCGGTTTTTGAATTTGGACTTGAGATCATACCTTAGGTTCTTGAATTGGATGCCTGAAGCTCTTAAGATGCCTGAGCGTGAGCTCATTGATCATGCTGGTTTAGACTCTGTTGTGTATCTCCGGATCTACTGGCTCGGGTAAAGAAAGATTCAGACTTTTCATTTTTTTTGCAAAGTCTTATTGAGTCAAAACAGGAATTGACTGATGAGCTCAATAGAGGCATTCTGTTTTTTTTTTTTTTTGTAAGACTAATTTTAGTATCAGGAAGAGGAAAAGTAAGTTGAATAAGTCTCATAAGGTTATATAGTATAGCATTAGGCTCATTGTGTCATCAGGAAGAGGAAATTAAGTTGACTAAGTGTTTAGAAAGCAGAAGCATTCTCTCAATCAGTAGAGTGAGAGACTGTCCATAAGATTTGAATCATTTGATAGTGAATAATCTTGTTACCTTATATTGCAGGCTTAAGATTTTTGCTCCAATAGCAATACTTGCCTGGGCAGTTCTTGTACCGGTCAATTGGACAAACCACACGTTGGAGTTGGCTAAGCAGTTAAAGAATGTTACGTCAAGTGATATTGACAAACTCTCAGTCTCAAATATCCCAGAGTCTTCAAATAGGTTTGTTAGAACAATGTCAAAATTCTTTTTATGGTTTCTTTATGCTTTGAATGTTGGTCATGTGAAATTGCATTGATTTTATTCCAGGTTTTGGGCTCATATCATAATGGCTTACGCTTTCACAATCTGGACTTGTTATATGCTGATGAAGGAGTATGAGACAGTTGCTAACATGAGGCTTCAATTTGTTGCCTCAGAAGCTCGCCGACCTGACCAGTTCACTGTAAACTCAGAACACAGCTAATAAAGTCGATGAGTTTGTATGTAAAACCGGATCTAATATGTCACATTTTGACTAGGTCCTCGTTAGGAATGTACCTCCGGACACAGACGAAACTGTAAGTGAGCTTGTGGAGCATTTTTTCCTAGTCAATCACCCTGAGCACTACCTCACACACCAGGTAGATTCTCTCATAAGATAACTTGACCTTTTCATATGCATTTCTTGGAGGGACAAAACAATTTTTATATTTCTTTTTTTCTGATTTTCCGGATTCAATACTTAGGTTGTATGCAATGCAAACAAGCTCGCCGATATGGTTAGCAAGAAGAAAAAGCTGCAGAATTGGCTTGATTACTATCAGCTCAAATACTCTAGAAATAATTCTCAGATCAGACCTATGGTGAAGGTACTTAACAGTGTTATAATTTATAATTATTACCCTTTTTTAACAGTAATAACTGTCTTCTCGCTTCTCTTTAACAAACCCAGCTTGGGTGCCTTGGCTTGTGTGGACAAAAAGTTGACGCAATCGAACATTACATTGCTGAAGTTGATAAAACATCAAAAGAGGTAAGCTTTGTGGTCCGTTTGGTTTCCATTTCCATGCCATCTTATTACCTAATGATGTTCCTTTGAAATCATCTTTGTTTTATAGATTGCTGAAGAAAGGGAGCATGTGGTGAATGATCAAAAGTCAATCATGCCAGCATCTTTTGTCTCCTTCAAGACCCGTTGGGCTGCTGCAGTTTGCGCTCAGACCACACAGACACGAAACCCGACCGAATGGCTAACCGAATGGGCCCCAGAGCCACGAGATGTGTTCTGGCCAAACCTTGCAATGCCATACGTTTCTTTGACTGTAAGAAGATTGGCTATGAATGTAGCCTTCTTCTTCCTCACCTTCTTTTTCATCATCCCTATCGCTTTTGTACAATCTCTTGCTACCATTGAGGGAATCGAGAAAGTTGCACCGTTCTTGAAAGTCATTGTCGAAAAGTAAGTTCTCTGCTTTCTCCAACGTTTTCTCATTCTTGATGACATTGAATGAATGGTTGGATTGATTTGTCATCTTTTTTATTACTTTGCAGTAATTTCATAAAATCGGTGATACAAGGTTTACTAGCTGGTATTGTGCTGAAGCTTTTCCTCATCTTTCTTCCAGCCATACTGTTGACCATGTCGAAATTTGAAGGCTTTACTTCACTTTCATCATTAGAAAGACGAGCAGCGTCTAGATATTACATATTTAACTTCGTCAACGTCTTTCTTGCAAATGTTATCGCTGGAGCTGCGTTTGAGCAGCTCAACTCTTTCCTCAATCAGTCTCCAAATCAGTACATTGCTCTCTCTCTCTCTCTCTCTGTGTTAATCTCTCATTCTTTTTGAATTGTGTTGTTTTCTAAATGGACTCTTCGTTTTACGTTCTGGTGCAGAATTCCAAAGACAATTGGCGTGGCGATACCGATGAAAGCAACCTTCTTTATCACATATATAATGGTTGATGGTTGGGCAGGAGTTGCAGGAGAGATCCTCATGCTTAAACCTCTCATTATATACCACCTCAAAAACGCTTTCTTGGTGAAAACAGAGAAAGACAGAGAGGCAGCAATGGACCCTGGAAGCATCGGTTTCAACACAGGAGAGCCTCAGATACAGCTTTACTTCCTTCTCGGTCTTGTCTACGCTCCTGTGACTCCAATGCTTCTTCCTTTTATCTTAGTCTTCTTCGGGCTTGCTTACATTGTCTACCGTCATCAGGTAAAAAAACTGTTTCTTGCTCAAACATTCTTTTGTGTTGTAAATTTCAACCATACCAAGAGTCAATATCTCAACTGGTAAAGATCTCGGCAAAGCCTAGAGGTCGCTGGTTCAAGTGGGTCCTTCAAGTGACTCTTGGGACGGAACCATATAACCATAAAAAAACCGTTTATTGCTCAAACATTCTTTTTGTGTTGCAAACTTGAACCATTCTTTGTGTTCTGTTTTTTCTTGTCATCAGATCATAAATGTGTATAACCAAGAATATGAGAGTGGTGCTGCGTTTTGGCCAGATGTTCATGGACGAGTTATTTCTGCATTGATCATATCTCAGTTGCTTCTGATGGGTTTGTTAGGTACTAAACACGCTGCTTCTGCTGCACCGTTTCTCATCGTTCTTCCTGTGCTTACCATCGGTTTCCACCGCTTCTGTAAAGGCCGTTATGAGCCTGCCTTTGTTCGTTACCCCTTGCAGGTCAGTTTCTTTCTATATATAGATTTATCTTTCTATATATACATATATCTCTCTATGATTCAGGTTTTGGATCAGTCTATAAAGTTTATTGTGATTCACAACTTTTTGTTTTAACAGGAAGCTATGATGAAAGATACGCTGGAAAGAGCAAAAGAGCCGAATTTGAACCTGAAAGGTTACTTGCAAGATGCTTATATTCATCCGGTTTTCAAAGGCGGTGACGATGATGATGAGAGTGACATGCTCGGGAAATTGGAGGAGGAAGTGGTTATAGTGCCAACGAAACGCCAGTCACGGAGGAACACTCCGGCTCCGAGCAGAATCAGCGGCGAGTCTTCTCCGTCTTTGGCCGTTATTAGCGGTAAAGACATTTAGTTAACGGTTTTTATTAAATAAATAGCGTATGCATACGAAAATTGTATGAGCAAATGTCAAATATGTAGTACATATAATAAGCCTACTTTTTATATGTTCATAGAGAAAGTTTGGAGATTGCTTAAACATAGGTTTGTGTTTACTGAGATGTGTTGATGATGATGGGATTTAAATGTTCAATAATTCAATTTCGGGGGGTTTCTAGAATAACGTTTTTCTTTTTTACTGTGGTGTATTTTCGTTTTTCAACTAATCGATTTCTTTGGCTCGTTCCACAATCTTCACAAGTAGGATATAGTTTGATGATTAAATTCGAAGAAATTTCATTTTGGTTAGTTGTTTTCAAAGTTTTTGTGGCTTGAGATCCTTCTTGCATGCCAAAAATTGGTGACTTGAAAGAAGTATTACAAGTACAATAGTAACGATTCAAATTGAAACTGCAACTACATACATATATAGTTCAATATTTATTAAAATTATATTATTGGTTCGGAGGAAAAAGTTTTGAAGAGCTTTGTTAACGATCCATCAGGAGCAGGGCTAGTCGACTAAAGTCCTGACCTAAAGTCTATGAAGCAAAAGCATCATTTTCCTTGTGATGATTTGTACTGTAATTTAGCTTCCAAAGGTTCAAGTTCGAACTCCACATCTAAACTTTTTTTTTTCTGTTTTTTGAAAAAAATTTAATTGATGGGTATCATTTTGAAGTTGGGCTTTAGGTTCAAAAGGGAATTAGCCGACTCTGATCACAAGGATTAAGTAAAGTAAACAAGGAAATGAATAATAGCATTTTATTTTTTAGTAAATTAATATGAAAAAAGTGAAGGTCACCAAATTTTGACAAAATTTCTGTAGAAATTAAATTCCACATAGCGAATCTAAACGAACCAAAGATAGTAGAAAAAGAAAAGCTCAAACGCAAAACCAAAGAAGCCTGCCAAGGAGTGGAACCAAGCAATTCCTTCACTTTTCTTCCGCTACGCACACAAGTCGGAGACCGCTTATTGGCAAGCCAATCAAGTCGAAGTGGGATCAGTGGTACGTTTTTGATTGTTGTCTACGTCGTGACTTTTTGCTTCGCACAGTAATAAAATCGTCCTTGGAAACCTCACCCGTATTGACACCATCAGAGATCGTGGAATCCTCCACGTCCTTCATGGACGTTACTTCTTCCTCCACGTCCTTCTTGGCCGTTACGTCTTCCTCCACGTCCTTCTTGGACGCTACGTCTTCCTCCACGTCCTTCTCGGACGTTACGTCTTCCTCGTTACGTGCCTAGAAAGGGAAGAAATTAGGTTAAGATTCAAAACCCTAGAGAGAATTAACCCTAGAGAAAATAAGTGAATACCTTTGGCTCTAGTTTTTTCTGAGAAGGGAGGCTGATCTCTTCTGGAACAGCCACTGAAGGAGGAGGAGAAGGAAGACGAAGCTTTTCGAGCTCTTCTATAAGCGCAGTGACGATTGGCTTCGAGCGGAGGATTTCTTCTTGATCTTTGTTTAGGATTTTTCCCTGAGAAATCGACTCTTCCATCTCAGCAATTCTCTTGTTTTTCTTGCGGAGAGCACGGAGACGCTTGCTGATGAGAGCCAACACTTGTTGTCCTTCTCCGGCGGCCATGGTGTCGATGTGAGAGTCTGAGAAACGGCGGAGTAAGGAAAAAGAAAATAGGATGCAAAGTTTTAGGGTTTTAAGTGTAGATACACATCTTAATTGTAACTACATATACGTATATATAGTAGAGATCTTTCCCTGAACAAATATGTAGTGTGTATATCTCTCCCTCTATACTATATTTTAGGAACATTCTAGATCTTGCTCTTTTTTTTGGTCGACAACCCATTTGTCAAAACATTCTAGATCTTTCTAAACATATTATATATTAACAAATATTTAGTGTATCTTTATAATACATCTTGGATCATTCTAAATCTTTCTATAGTTATTTGAACTTATTTCCATAGATCAGAACTATAATTCATTTTAACAGGAAAAAAAACGGAAATTAGCTTATAAAGATCTTTATTTCCATATCTTTCCGAATCTAATTATTCTATACTGTTAATCGTATTATACACCTTATTATAAAATTTATTAAATAATAAAATACCATAAAAACACATATACATACGGCTAAAGAAAGAAATCTCTTCCTACGTGTTTTTTTTGGTCAACCTCTTCGCATGTGTTTGTTCAAAGATTTGTAGTAGTTATTATGTTGAACTATACACTGCAATATTGAAACTATAAGAAATTCAAGAATTTAACGGCAAATCGGGACCAAAGTGTAGTGACGATGAATCCGCGACCATCAGATGATTCCGGTTCCTCTAAAGCTGAGATCAGTGTCGTCGAAGATGAAGATTCATTGCTGATGAGAGCAGAGATGTATAAAGATTACATGAGGAGACTTCCTATCCCGACAAATCGCGGTTCGTTGATTCCGTTCACGAGCTGGGTTGGATTAATCAACTCAATCAAAGAGCTTTATGGTCAACCTTTGTACATTACCTTCACGAACGTTCTCTTACAACGTTGGGACCACTCAAGATTCGGCTCTGATTCTGAAGACCAGTGTTTGGATTCTATCATTCATCCTTCGAGAGCTGAAGCTACCATTTGGCTCGTTGAAGAAATCCTTCGACTCACTTCTTCTCATTTTCAAATTGCTCGTCTTTGGGGATCTGATCCTATGTATCACTCGTTTATCGACTCAATCATTAATCCTGAGCCACCACGAACATGAACAAGTTCTTGAACACCTTTTCTCTATCTAGTTTTTCTCAGATTCATCCTTTCAAAAATTGATGTTTATATATAAGTCTCTATGTTAATTAACTTAAAAAAAAAAGAAGAAGCTAGCCTATTAGTGTGATAATTTGCCAAATAGAGATGAAATATAAATGTAGCAGAGTGGCGAAAAATATGAGAAGATAGTACGTATGTGGCTCATAAATTGTATACATTGAGAGAAACAGTGTTGTACCATTTGTTGTGGCATATTTGGACTGCTTAATCGCAATCATACGTGCAATGATAGTAAGTTGGTTTGAATCCTTGGAGTCTTAAATTATAGTTGGTTTGGCACTGGGAGTAGTATTATAGTAGTATATTGCTCACTCATTGTCTGGCTTCATATAGGTTTATTTGTTTGTGCTTTAGAGTTAACTAGGAGAGAACCCGCGCAGATCTTGTTTTAATTTATATTTTAAATAATATATTTTAATAATTTGTATTGAATTTTATGTTTATAATCAATGTTTGTGTTTAAAATATTATATTTTCTTCGTTTTTTTCTTGATGATATATTATTTGTAATCTCTTTTACACCTAATTGTGCTAAATAGTATAGTTTTTCTTACAAGATAATAAGGAATAAAAAACTATTATTTTAATTTTTGTATAAAAATGTAATCGTTCACTTAAAAATATACGTTGAATATCAGAGATAAATATTTATTTGTTATTCGATTCTCATATTTTTATTCTTGTAAATCTTACTAATATAATATTTGTTAACTTTCTTAATTTTATAGATTTTTTTGGTTATATATATTATTGATTCCAACTTTTTTTAATTTAAAAAGCATGTATGATATTTTTATGTAGACGCCCTTCTTTTTACTATTATTTTTAATAATTTTTTAATCATTTATTTAATATTCTTTGTGTTTTCTAATTTTATTAGTTGGAGTTTTATAAAAGATTATTTTAAACTTTAAACTTATTAAGTTTTATTATTTTTTTACTTGCATTAAAATTTTAATTATATTTTTAATTTGAAAATGAAGTTTAAATCACTTTAAAAAAAAATAGAATAGTGCATTTAAAAAGTTTTGTATTATATAATATTTATAAATTTTGTATATTGAAAATTAATTTGAATTCATTGTAATATATATATATATATTAATGTTTATTTATATGTTCTTTAATGTATTTACTTTAAATTTAATTAATTAATTATTTATTAATATTTTAAATTGACAGATGTCATTCTTTCCATTGCTGATGTGTTGATTGTCTTTTATATATAAGATTTAGTCATGTTATAATTGTTCTTTGATATCGAATTAAAGACAATTCGTATTCATTGTTGGACTGATCAGAAGCCTAAACTAGAATCTGAATATTAGTTTGATGACTCATTGTCTGGCTTCATATAGGTTTGTTTGTTTGTGCCTTAGAGTTGATTTAGTCATGTTAGTAATTATTGTTCTTTGATATCGAATTAAAGACAATTCATATTCATTGTTGGACTGATCAGAAGCCTAAAATAGAATATGAATATTAGTTGGATGAAAAAAAAAATGAAATTTACCATTTTGCTCACGTTGATGTAACAAGATTAGTTTTATTTTTCCATAAACCTAAGTTTCTTTCTAGCTTCAAGTCATTCTTGCATGCCAAGAACTGATGCCTTTAGGAAGATTTTGAATTTTTCTATGCATCTTTAGGCAGTGTCGATATTAATGAATAAAACTGATTTTACAACTAAAGACATAGTTCGATATCTATTAAGAGTAAACAATGGATTCGGAGGAAACAAGTTTTGTATAAAGCTTTATTAAAATTTAAACGATCTAATTGGCAGTACATTAATTAAAATATACTAGGAGATTTAAGGAGAATAAGGAAATATTGAACATGTTTAATAATAGAGGTACAATATGATTCAATCACGTTGATGTAGAAACATAAGAAATCAGATAGCAACTACTGATTTTACAACAATAACAACATTAACAACATAGCAAAGATATAGGACTTAAAAAGGATTAATTGACTCGTTACAAAATAAGCACGAGCCGAATTGAAGATTATGAGTCTGTCCCATCACGAACAAGGACTGTCTGATCAGGTAAATTTGGAATTTTTCCATGAAGTTATTATCACAAGTGAGTTTGATTACTTGTTAGAACATGTTTGCATGCTAGATCCGTAGGTTTGATAAAGCTTTTGATTTTGGACCTTTTCCAATGAAACTATTATCACTAATTAAGTTTGATTACTAGTAGGCTAGATCCTTAGGCTCAATAAAGTTTTTTTGATTTTGATAAGAAAGATGGGGAGCATGAAGGATGGATTCTGTAACATCATCATGTCAACGCAAGCTATCCCATCAAAGTGTTTAACATCTTAGAGCATGTGCAATGAGAGAGATTTGATTGGTCTTTACCTTTTTTTTTATTATTAAAATGTGTTATTTTACTATTAGACAGTTAATAGGAAAAACTTAAATTTTTTAAAAGTTTAATGGGAGAAATCTGAATTTTGTCAAGTAAAAAAAAAGAATGAGGATCCAAAACAAACTTTTTCTCTTTCTTCTCTTTTATCCAATGAAATTTGGACATGTGCAGCTCAAGAGACGTTTCTCCCATCTCTAAATTAAGAAACGTCTTTCAGTTTTTTTTTTGTGTTTTTCATTTATTTAGTTTGGGAAAAATAGTAGAGACGGTGGTTAAATACCCCATTGCACTTGCTCTTATTACCTTGATTTTCAGGATATTTACTAAGCTAATAGGCAACCTCTCAACAAGTACAACATTTTTCAAGTAAAAACATCTCCAAGCTGTCCCATATTTTTCATTCTCTAGACTCTGGCGCAAATTTAGTGCAAGTTTTATGGTTTCTAAAAAGAAATTACAACGGAAAAAGTGTAAGAGTTAGATACAAAACTATTACACATATATCCATGAGATCTATTGGAGCTTCCAAATTCCAAATTTTGGTTAATCAATCACCATACCCTGTTTATATACACACACAAGCACAAGTGCACAACAAAAAAAAACTTTTTAATAATTAAAACATAGAATAATCATATTACACATATACTCACACTAAAAAAGTTCATGTGAATCCTCTACAGTCAAATAGATCTAGAGAACACCTAGTTTCTGCAAACGTTTGCAAAATGGCTTTTTCACCCAATACTCTAGGCCTAGGAGCTTGTAGAAGATTTGTGGATTTCAAAATCTTTTCGGATCGGCTTCGGTTAAATTGTTTGGATTTGGTTTTTATGCCTATGCCTATGCCTAGTGTTATTGATATTTGCAACACATAAACTATATGAGCATGCTTAAACAAAATTAAAAAAAAAAAGATAATTTTTGTGTTTTCCAACTAGACAAAGCATCTCTAAATTAGTTAATAACTGATTTTTAAGATTATGCAACAAATGACCAATTTTTCTATGTTCTTATGATAAAGAACCGGAATTCTAGGAGCTTGAGATGAAACGTACTTATACAATCGTTAACTAATGAAAATAGAAATTTATCTAACTCTTTTTCTTTGTTGAGGTCTAACTCTTTCTCTTTGATGTCCAAAGACTCAAGTTGCCCAAAGATTCTTTTCTTTGGTTTCCAAACTTGCTTGTTTGGGTTGATAATAGCTTTAAATCTTTGACTATTAGGCCTTGTTTACACAACTTCTACATAATTGTACATAGATCCGTGTAAACTAGGTGTTTAGCCCGCGACTTGCGCAGGCCGAAAAGTTTCATTGAAACCTAAAATAAAATTTTATGTCATAAATCAAAAATAATTAGATCAAGAATTTGATACATACAAAATTAAAATAAAGCTAACCTATGAAAGGAATCATTGTCTAACATTAAAAACTTTAAAATCAATACTAATAAGTGTATGAAATCAATAAACATAAATTAAAATAAGATTATATAAATTATTCATCTTTTTCTCTTTTTATCTTTTAATTTTTTTTCTCTATCATTTTCTTCTTTCTTTCTTTTTTTGTTTTTTGTTTTTTTTTATTTTCTATGTCTTTTTTTTTACTTTTTATTCTGCTGGTTTTTCTTTTTCACGTCTTCTTCTTCTTCTCCACATCTTTTCTTTTTTCCTCTCATACATCTTTTGATTTTCTTCTATTTCAGGTTTTATTCCCTTTTTTCTTCTTCTTCAATGTTTTATTATTCTATTTCTTCTTCTTTTTTTCTTTTCCTTTTTCATTGTCATCGTCTTCTTCATTATCACCGACTTGCTATTCTTTTGGTGTTTTTCGGCTTTTACCTCATCTTCATATTCTTCTACTTTCTCAAATTCCTCATCTTTTAAGGTTTTCATCCAATTTTTTCTCTTCCCTATCTTCTTCTTCTACTTTGTCTTCTAATTTATTTATTTTTCTCCTTCAACAAATTCTTATTCATCTTCTTCCAATTATTCTTCCTCTCTCCAAATTCTTCATCATATTTTAAAGATCTTTGTCTTATCTGTCTTTTTACTCCTCTCATGGTTTATATTTTTCTTTTTTTAGTTTTTTTCCTTATATTTTTGAGTTCTTTTTTATCGTTATTTGTTTTCATATTGTTCTTCTTTATTGTCTTCATTTTTTTACTTCTTATTCATCTGAGTTGTCTTCGTTTTTTCATCATATTTACCTTTTTCAACTTTGTCTTGTTCATCTTCTAGTTTTCTTCTATTTTATTATTTTTTCTTTCACTTCCTCTACTATCTACTGGTTTTCTTTTATGACTTCTTCTCCTGATTATCTTTTTTCTTCTCCAATTGGTCATCTAATTTTTTTTGTTCATCGTCATCGACCTATCCGACTATTTTTTTTATCTTACTTGTTCACTGTATTATTTTTTGTTCATATTATCGTTGTTTTCTTATTCTTCTCCTTTTTCTTTATTTTTTAGCTGTTCTATTCTTTGTTTTTTCCTTCTTATCTTTCATTGTTTTTGACTATTTCTTCTTATGTATTTTATTCATCTTCTTTGAC